CGAACGCCGACGTAGGAGGAGGAGGAGGCGGTGGCGTAGGGGAAGGTGGTGCTGGTGGAGGTGGTGGTGGAAGCGGCGGGAGGTAGAATGGTGCCTTCCGGCCCGTGTCGGTCTCGAGCGGAAAGACGCGCTGAGATGTCGCCGCGCCGTCTCGCGCCCCTGCTGATCCTCGGTACGATCCTCGCCGGGCTGACGAGCACCGCCGCCGCAGACAGGATGAGCGGCCTCTACGTCGACAACGGTTTCGATCAAACGATCGTCCACAGAGTGGTTAGCCAGCGGGAGAAACGCGAGGTCGAACACGAGATATTGAATCTTCTTGGATTACCGGATCGGCCAAGGAATACGGCCGGTAGGCCGCCGCAGGTCAAGAGGTCGGCGCCCAAGTTTCTCTTGGACATATACAAGAATGCTCTCGGCGAGGACGAAGACGAGAAGCCGATCGGCGAGCAGCAACGTAGGGCCGGCGAGTTCGACCTCACCGGTCAGGATCTCAGGGCCATCGACCAGAGCGACGTCATCATGACCTTTGCCGCGCACAGTAAGTCATTATTCTGTCTTTTCCTCTCTTTCTCTCTCTATACGTACTTACATTCGTACGTACGTATACGCTACTGTTGCCTGGTGTGCCGTGTGCCGTGTGCGTGCACACGCTTCTTTTCGTTTGTGTCATCGCGTTTACGCGGCTCGATCGTCATTATTACTCGTAGTCGTTGCGTATGTAAGTTTCTCGTGTACGTACAGTACGCGTACGTGGACGTAGGAAGAGCTTGGCGGAAGGAGAGCCGACATTTGTCGTCAGCGACGACGTCGTCGTTCTAATGCTCGAGATATTCTGGATGACGTCTCTTTTGTCTCTCATGGCGTGCCCCAACCACTGTCGGAATCCATTGGAATCAGTCAGAATGAATTCTCTTCTCTCGGCCTCGGAGGTTAACAGGTTCCGCGAACGCGTTTTCCGATGGTATGCGTCTAGTTTGCGTGCCGCGCAGGCTGCCGTCGAGATCTGATTTTCATTTCACGCAGCCTCTACGGGGACGTAATCCTTGTTTAGGCCGCTACGTTTCTAATCGTACTATAATTTACCGTATTCGTCTAATCTTTTATAACGCCGTGTATCTCGCAATTTACATGCTCGCGTATCTTTGAAACTTTTTTCTTCGTTCGACACTGTGCTATTCAATTTTCCTACTATACCAGCGCCAAATAATTTATCTATAGCAATTATAAGTTGTAACGTTGTCAGCGAATTTCCAAGTACTAATTAATTGAATAAAAAAATGTTAAAGTTTCGTTACAACACAATGCGTATCTCGCTAAGCTTGAAATTAACAGCGATAATTTATATAATTTATGTAATTTATGTTATCAGTTGACGCGATTGAACGTATCAAATATGATAATTTGCATTTACTTTTTTGTATCTCTCAAAATGGATACACGACACCTAAGGTATATTTTTTGAAACTCAGTGTCGAGAGAAATTAAGAGAGAACGTGAATAAAAGAAACACAAAGAATAACGTCAACTCGCTGACTACCAATTTACCTAAGTAGATTATCTCTGATTAGTTTTCTTATTTTTGTACCGTTAAAGGTATCCTGATCGTACTCATTTCATTATCGGGCGAGATAAAATGAATTATTTTTTGCTAATTTTGAATTTCGCGTTGGAAAGCTTTGGTTGCGAAACCGTGGCTTCGACGAAAGGAAGAATCAACGGCGGAAAAGCGAGAAATGGTTGAATTGGCGCGAGAACTGGTTCTTCAATCGACGGATTTAGAATTCAGAGATACTTTAAAAATCATTTCACCACCGATCGATATAATTAACACACTGTATGAGTTTACTTCGGGATTATAAATCGCTTTACCAACTGGATTCTACCGGTTTAGAAGCAGTTCTCGTGGGTGTGAGCATTCTGCGGCAAGGAATGCTCGTCTAGCGTTTCTTCGGTGACTTTGGCAGATCCTCTGCTGGTTCTCGAATATCGTCCAGCGAACAACCTGATCGCGATTATCCAAAGACTCGTTCGGTTTCTCAACGTGTTCGCTACGGTTGATTTTCGTTAAAAAACACTTGGGATTTCGGTTATTTTTCGCAGTCTTACAGGATGTTGAAAGGAACGAGAAACCTCGTTCGACGAGAAACCTAAAAAATTATCTTGATACTGAAACAGCGAATGGATCAAAAGTCCTTGATTCGTCAAAAAATTGATCGATCCGATAGAACCGATGGCCCGTTTCATCGTGCGTTGCGTTTTAATCCTTTGCAGTTACTCACAAAAGTATATTTCTTTATTCGTTATGTAGATTACATTTGACGCGATTTATGATGAGAATATGCATACAGTGATTATTACGACATACTGTGAATATTTATACGTATGCAAATGCATATTTATACAGAAAATTCTTGATAAAGCGAAACCTGGACGAAGGATGTTTTATCTGTAGAGGGTCTTAATTTTCACATTTCGCGAGATAAGTTTCCTACGTATTTGTCGTTATATGCTTCTGCGAGAAGACTATTGTACCTTAAAGTACATTACTTCGTAAAGTACTTCGCGTACTTTCGTCGTAACTATTTTGTAAAATTGAATATTATTTATAGCGAAGTTTTGAAGAAATCTACAGTGAGAAGATATTGTGTGTAGCTAAATATTCTACGTTTTATACCTTATATCGAGTTTTATT